TTAACGAAAGAGAGAGAGACACACACACAAATGATAGCCTCAACTAAGATTGTTTTGTTTTTCCTTTAAATAACCCATCATGTTCATATATAATTGTAACTTTGAAAGAGTGACGCATATCATTTTCTGAAGTTAAGAAATCAATCAAGTAAGTCTCAATGCACGTAATAAAATCCATAGTAAGTAATTGCGTGCGTTCGTCATTTTTGTATTCAGAAGCCATAAGTACATTCATATCACACGAAGAATAGGTTACTTAATTGCCTGAATGAAATCCTATTTATCTTGGCAATCAACTAAATTGTTGTATACATCAAACATAGATCTTTTTGATGTTTTGAAATTGACGCACACTGCGCTAACCGTGACATACATATGAAAAACATGCGATGATCAAGTGAAACGTTTTCAGAAATTAAGAAATCTAGAGAATCTAAGCCGCGGAGAAATTGATTATACACAGATAGAATGCGGAGAGAGACATAAAACTAATAAAGGGAGCAAGGCAGAGAAACGAAGATACGGACCGCTAAAGGCGATGCCGGAGGAGGCAACGACGCAGGTCTGGATAACAGTGTTCTCCTGGCGAGTGAAGGGCTGTTTGAGGAGGCCGAACTTGGAGAGAAGCGCAGTGTAGGACTTCAAGACGGCGAAGCCTAACAAGCCGGCGGCGACATTGAGGGACGGAATGACGCCGGTGGTGAGGTTGAGTTTGCAGACAATGAAGTTGAAGACGATGCTGAGCACAAAACTCGTCACCAGAGACCTAAGCGTTATCTGCTTCCGCCATGGCGGCACCTTGGTGGTCTTGAACGCCTCTTCTCCCTTCAACATATCGTCTTCTTCCTCGTATTCCTTGGGAACTACCGCAGGGCTAGGATCTCCGGCGGCCATCTCTTGCAGGGATCACTCTACGTCGAAATCTGTGGAAGCAATGTAATTATATATGCATATATATTCAGAATTATTATTAATGAGCGAAATAAAAATCAAGTGCGTGCATGAACATATATTAACTCTTAAACTGTTTTGCACTAGGAACCAAAAACAGGTCAGGCGCGACTGGACGGCGCAAAAAGCAAGGGTCAGTTGAAACGAAACACCTATACTGCAAATTAAAAGCTGGCTTGCTCAGAATAGGAATAGGACTAGGAATGTTCTCTCTTGCCTGATTGTATTCGCTTCCTTTTTTATTTTAAATTAATCCTGTACACAGTTTTTTTCAGAGTTATTATAAAAATAAGCGGGTTTTACAATTTTTATCTGTATATATCCTGCGATTAGTTAGATTTAAATTTAAATGATCACGATAATTGAAATTGTCAACCCTTTTTATCGAAAGTAAATCACATTTTCGTATCTTAATTTTGACCTCAATTAAATTATTTTGATAGGGTAGTTAATGCAAATAAAGTTTTTGACTTTTGACCTATGAAACAGCATTTATTAAGGTGATGGGGCCATTTTGCTTCAATATTTTATTCTCCTCCAAGCGGTAAAAAGCTTTTTTATTTGTATAAAGCATTTGTGAGGCTCTGGCATTGATGCTGAACCAGAATAATCTAAAATGGAAGAGCTCTTGGAAAATAGTACAATCAATCTAGCCCGATTATTAAAATATAGGCAGAAAAAGAATAAATACGGGAAATAAAATCTTATGTCATTGTTTATATCCTATCGTTAGTTTGTTTCCTTATTATTTAGCCAACAGTGCTTAATATCCGTTATTAATATAATTATAATTATAATTTTTGATGATGTTTGATAATTATTGTTATACTACCTCCGCTCCTTAATATAAAATCTTGTTTGATTTTTATTTTAGTTATAAATATAAGAACACAATCCACTTTGTCTCTTATATTTATACTTTTTTTTTCAGAGTAATTCTTTTAACAATGGTAATTCTAGCCAATACACTTAATTAGCAAGGATATTTTAGGAAAGACAACATTTATTTAGGACAAATAACTAACTCAACTTACTTCTTTAATCTCCTCAAATTAGTTAACTAGCTCTTATAATTAGGATCGAAAGTAGTATTATACTATAATGTGATTATACTTATTCATAAACTCTTTTACCGGTGGTGTGGTTATACTTACTTAAAAGTATAAATATTTATGTTGTTTGACCTCGTTAGTGTGGGTCTAATATTTTCATGACGTTGTTATATCATAAGAGAATTACAATGAGGTTTTAAGTAAGGAATACAATTGAAAAACAAGTCTCAGAGGTTGTCATTTTCACTATAGAACTTGTCATTATAAACTATTGAGATTGTTATTAAGACATTTTAGTAATTATTTTTTTTCTATGGGACTTGATTGTAATTTCCCCTTATATCATTGTCCATGCAAATATTTTGTTGCTCTCCTTTTGGATCAAACATCGCAATCACTTTTATAGGAATCCATTTTGATCTCAATATTCAAATATTTAAGAATAATTTTAGAAATTAGACGAGCATATAAATGACTGATTAATAAATTTTATATCGTTTTTTTTTTCTTTTTGTCATTCTCTAATTCTTTGCACTATAAATCGATAAAGCCCGGGTAGTGAAACTCTACCGAAAAAGTAGTTACTATTAATTTAAGTAAATTAAAAAAATTTATTAAGTTGATTATTTGTAATAAATATGTATTATCTTTTTTAAAATACCCGTGTTAATCATATGCATTAACTAAAGAATTACTATAAAGACTATTTTAAAATAAAGAAATAAATATGAGAAACAAAATTGATTAGAATATCTTATTTAAAACTAAATTAAAAGTTAATTAGCTCTTATATTAAGAATCATAAATAGTACTAATATCAAGGATAGTGATATTTTGTAATTTGAATTTTGAAAATGTGAATCAAAATTAATAGTTCTTGTTTAACATTAAAAATGCTTTTTAAAATTACTTTTCTACAAATCAAAATAAACTTATTCACATATTTATTTTGTATATTATAAAATTATTTTTAAAATCATAGTTTGATTTCCATTTAAATACTCCTAAGAAGGATAGTTGACCAAGATGAAGGGTTTTACTACCTTTGATTTTTAATACAAAACCTTATTTGACTTTTATTTTAATTCTAAATATAAAATCCTAATCTACTTTTATCCATCATGTTTTTTTTTAAAATACCCGTGTTAATCATATGCATTAACTAAAGAATTACTATAAAGACTATTTAAAATAAAGAAATAAATATGAGAAACAAAATTGATTAGAATATCTTATTTAAAACTAAATAAAAGTTAAATTAGCTCTTATATTAAGAATCATAAATAGTACTAAATATCAAGGATAGTGATATTTTGTAATTTGAATTTTGAAAATGTGAATCAAAAATTAATAGTTCTTGTTTAACATTAAAATGCTTTTTAAAATTACTTTTCTACAAATCAAAATAAACTTATTCACATATTTATTTTGTATATTATAAAATTATTTTTAAAATCATAGTTTGATTTCCATTTAAATACTCCTAAGAAGGATAGTTGACCAAGATGAAGGGTTTTACTACCTTTGATTTTTAATACAAAACCTTATTGACTTTTATTTTAATTCTAAATATAAAATCCTAATCTACTTTATCCATCATATTTATGTATTTTTTTCAATATAATTCTTTTAACAATAGTAGTTCTAACCAATATACTTGATTAGTAAGGATATTTTAAAAACACACCTATTTATTACAAATAACTAACTTAACTTTTTTCTTTAATCTCTTCAAATTAGTTAACTAACTCTTATAAATAAGACTAAAAGTAATATAATTTATTGGTTTGGATTTGTGCCGTAACGTTGTTTTAAACCTCAAACTCCTCTAGGATGGCCATTGGCCATTGACATGAAGAAAGCAAAATACTGGTGATATATTTTTATATGATATTTTATATAATTATCTTTCTATCATTTAATTTTGTATTGATTTATTGTTAACAATTATTTATTGATAATTACAAAACCCTCATCTTCTTCCCTGATTTCCCTTGACGAAATTTCCATCCCCCCTGCCTAATGAAGCAAATATCGTATTAATAGAATTTTCCCCCTCTCCTTTAAAAGTAAGCGGTTTGGAAGAATCATTAAAATCTCTCCAATATCCACCATCCACTCCATCAAACTGAACACTGTACGAGACAAGCCCAAGCAAAATTCGTCCAACCAACAAACCTCAAATTACGACTTAAGAAACTACGAAGAGCTGCATAGTCACAAGAGGCAAAACGTTATGAACAGATGCTATTTGCTCATGATTCATGTCAGCCAACAAGTGGAAGGCTGGAATTATGATCTGCAAAAGTCTATGGATATTTGAGTTGACTGATGACGACCGCGTGACCCTTCCTACATATAAACAGTGCCGACAGTCAATTATTATATATTAATGGGGTGAAAAACACTGGCTGATCACCAAAAGCTAAAAGCGAAAAACAAAAAAAACACTAACACTAACTTAAGCCCGTAGTTATTAGTTGATTTTGGGACTGGAGTAAAATGTTGGGTCCCTAAAAAACCTGGAAATAATCTCGGCCTTGTCAGTCGAAAGATCCGTGTTCTCTAGAATTTGCTCTTTTGATGCTTTGGCAATTGCTTGGACAGAACCAATGGCTTGACAAAGCTGAATCGAGCGACCAGAATAAGAAATAGGAAACAACTGAAGGTCTAATCTATGACTAAGTACGATTTAATCAGTGATAACATAACCTTGTCTCCTGGTTGCGAATATCGGTTTCAAAAAGAAAGCAATCTGTGATTTTTGCACCATCCTAAGCAAGTTCGATAACTCTACTTAACCAAGAGTCCTGCGCTTTAGCAAAGTGGGATAAGTTAGATATTTACCGCATTTGCATCATGACTGTCAATGCCGGGAATTGATGTAATCACTTTAAGGTATTGGTCCACTCCTTGTACTAATTGCCTCCTCTTCATGAACAAACAGAAGAGTCAGACATCAGCTGATAGCCTGATAGTTACGGACTTCCGTTAAGTAAATGAGTCGGGCAAGTGCAACTGACCTCAGCCTTCAATTTTTCTATAATTTTCTGCTGCTTGCACACTGCACTCCGTTTGCCATGCATGAAATAAGAAATAAGAAATACAAATATAAATTGGATCAACACACCGTGATTAGTTCCGGTAATGAGATCAAACCTCCCGAAGCATGAGCTACTTTGACCATCTTTTCAAAGCCCATCTCCAAGTCTTGAACTGGCACAAAAGTTGGCTTGGCAATCACCATATCGAATCTTCAAATTCCCACCAGCCATCCCATGATAGTTATATCATAATTAGGAGCTTGTTTGGTTTAAACACTGCCTGGTTTTTTCATATTAAAAAAAATACTGTTTGATTTTACTTCCATGTCCCCCCCCTTTCTGGGATAAAGCCTCTTTACCCTCTAAGACCACGCCAGGATTTGGTAAAAGTGTCCTTTATTTTGCCGGTAATTTTAAAATTTAAAAATTAAAAAATTAATATGTAATTATAATTATTTAATTTTAATTTTAGAATAATTTTTTAAAAATATAATTTAATAATTATTATTTATTTCGTTGTATTTCGAATTAAAAAATTTAACATCAAAATATAAAATCTAACCAAATCTCTCTAACAATCCTCAAAGTGTAACTATCATATCATATCCTTTTTGGTAATCACATATCCAAAAATAGTTAAAATATATAGAATCAGAACAAAATTATTTCTACCAAAATCACTTATTTGGGGGGAAAAAAAATCTCCAGATAGAAATCGCATTTAGCCAGACTTTTTAAAATCACGTTTATTCAAATGGACACTAAAGCCATAGTAAAACCCATGGTCAATTGTAGCAATATATTTCGGAACTCACTTGAAGTATGCTCGAAAAAATGATTCAATTTGCTCCTTCTCTGGGAGGATGATGACGACATAAAAACGTGCGAATTGCATCTAAATTTAATGAATATCAGCATCAATCTACCGCTGTAGAGGACACGGTGAAGACAACTTCAGTTAAGGATCGGAGCGTATGTGATATGCATCAAAAGCATCAGGGTGAAAAAAGGGCTAAGCAGAAGAGGTAGTTCATATTGCACCATGAAGACAATGAATAAATCCATGAATGCATACAAATGAATAGCTAGAATCCATTCCGTTTCCCTCATTTTAGTAAGGAAAGCACTCCGTTGAAAGTTGGAAGCACAGGATTGAAAGTTGGAAGCACAGGATCTTCAGTAAAGATGATTTGAATTGTAATCTTAATCCTAATAAACAGAATGCATGCAACCAAGAAATTACACACTGTTCACCTTTCGCATTTATTTTCCTTCCAAGTTCGAAGGAAGTACAGATAAACTTCATTCCGGAAAAGAGACAAGCTAAAACACTTTATAAAAATTTTTTGAAAGCAACCTTGATCAATCTGGAAATGATAAGAAGTTCTGCGTCTTGTTTTTCTAAACCAACTGACGGAGAATAGATGCATTGTCATTTACCTGTTATGTAAAAGGTTTCAATTCAAAATCATGTAGTTAATGGTTATTATAGTGTCCAGTTTTTCTTTTTTAATTTCTATTACTCTTATGTGCTGGGCAACTCTCCCACTCGTTCCCGTGTGTGTACATGATTGTTCGCGAATATCCGAGAGAGAGAGAGAGAGTGCCTCTATTTTGGACAGACTGAGACCCAAATTTTTGGTGTTTTAACATTGCTAAGTGGTAATCTTGTGTGTCTGTCTACACACACACACACACACACACACATATATATATGTTGCAAATCTCAGGTAAGTGCTATAAACTCTGTCACTAAACATGACAGGATGCAGGTCCCTCAGGAATTAACCCCATCCAAACACACATACTTAGTCATGATCTTAGTTTAGCCAAAGAGAAAGTTTAAAAGCAACAGATTCAGAACAATCAGAAGTCAAATAAAGATGAAGAGCAAAGAGCGGCAAACAGCTTTATGACTCTTTCAATCTTCGGGGCCAGAAAATAAGTGGATTAATAATCTTTCCTTTGTTAAAAGAGACATATACCGGATTGTGTCATATGGGGCGGTGTTGCAATGGTTGAAGCTTTGTAGCTAAATTGCAAATCCTTCATATCCGTATGCAAATCGTAGAGACCTGAAAGACAGCTGAAAAGTGAGAACTAACCATAGGCGGACCTACATTACACTTGCCCATTGTTTGGTTGAATTTTTTTTTGGGAGGCGAAGTGAGGTTTGGCGGAGGAAAAGCGCGTTTGGTTCAGTCCCCTTTGCTCTCCCCTGAAAATGGGCGAGAGAAAATATTCTCCAATCGTGACAAAATTATCCATGCCATATTTTTAATATTCCAGTGTTACCCTTCAGTCTTTGAAAACCCCTTTCGATCATTCTCGTCACCCGCGCCTGTGCTTGGTCGCATTTCCTCCTCCAGTCGTCTCGTCACGGGCGTCCCCTGGTTCTGCAGCTGCCTCCATCGCCTGGCTCTGTCACTCACTCTGGTCGCCGTATTCGGTCCATCCAGGTGAGTGTCTGAGTTCGTTCTCTGGATCCGATCATTCTTGTGTTCTTGATTCTTGTTCTTCATCTGGCTAAATCATCCTTTTTTGGTCCATTCTTGTTCTTCTAATCTACATGACAGCATCTGTCCATTCTTCAGTACCAGTCCTTCATTCTTGTTCTTCATTTGTTCACTCTCTGCATGCCAATAATCCTGTTCTCTTCAAACCGTGCCTTCCTTTCCTTCCATTAAAATCCCTCCCTTCCCTCCCTCGGCCGAACCAAACACTATTGAAACCTTTGAAATATGCGGAGTTAATATCATGCCCTTTTAACTTCTGTTCCAGGATTTAACGAAGATGCCTTAGTAAGCCAACTGATTCAGGCGACTCCTCCAAGCTACTGAAGAATGACAATGATAACACTCTTGCGATTTATGATCTTCCAATTGATTAAAATGAAAACAAAAAAGCAAAGCAGGAGAGCGACGGCGTCCGACGCAGGGTTGACAACCTCGCAGGAACAGATGGTGCGGGGAACTAATTCAAATATAGATTCAAAGCTTGGATTGAACAAATCAATATCACCGCATTTTGGGAGAAGATAAAGCCCAAGGGTTCGTACCTTCTTCAATAGTTATCTGAGGATAACCACGTAGGACTGATAACGGTGGAAGGCGTCCGACGGCGAGCTCGACCAAGTGAAGAATGCTTGTTCGTCGACGAAGAAAATTGAATTTGCTGCTGCTGCTGGGTACAGTGGCGTGTGGCGGCAATTATGTCTCTGGCGAAGGGCGGGGTGTCTAGTGGCATAGGCTGTTGGTGATGAAGTGAAGTCGGGACTTCTGCTCCGCAGAAGTTTAAATTTTTATGGGAAAACATCCGCGCACGAATGCCCGCGTGTGAATATTTGAAAAATCGGATGTTCATTAATATAATGATGAATATTTGAAAAATCAAAATTATTACTCGTATTTATGAATCATACTGATTGGCTATTTTACTGCCTTCTTAAAATTTACTTTTAGGCTAATTTGTCTTTTTGTGAGGATATTTTAGTTTTTTTTTTAAATATAATTTTTTAATTATGATATTTAATTTGATATATATTTGATATATTCTCCGGCCCACTGCGCCTCCCCTCCTCTCGGGCCGATTTGTGCGCAATCAGTTGGTAAGTGCTTGGGTAGTTGGGTTGAAATCGTGGTCTCGTCGCGGTCTGTTGCCTGTGAGATCGTGTTCCTAACTGATCTCGTCTGCTCGCTGGGCATACCCTGCGTCTTGTGTCCATTTGTCTGGGTTGCTTCCGTTTCCCATCTGATATGTAGGCTACCTGTTTGTCTTAACTTCTCGACAAGTCATGTGCTACTTGTAGACAAGCTAGTGACTCTAACTATTTCCAGTCTCATAATATGTGCTAGTTGACACTTTTTTTTTTTTGTTTCTTTATATATCGTTCATATTTTCTTTAATATGAGTATGATTAAGAGTAAATTAAGCCATGGGTGTAAATATTTTGTAACATGTGATTAACCAATGCTGCTCTATCATAAATACTTGCATACCCTTTTTTGGTCAGAGTGCACCTTCTTTTTCATCCATAGATGGACACAATATATTAGTAGTTTGGTAATGCATTTGTGCAGAAATGGCATACAGAGGACGAGGACGGGGACGGGGTTATGGAGTTTGGGGCAGCCCTTCATTTTCCAAACCTGAGGCATTTGTGCTTTTTCCTGAGGTAATTTGACCTATCTTTGAGACATTGACTATTCAGGTTTTCTTTCATTATCAAAGGCCAAGAATTTTTGCAGAAATTGAACTTAATAAATAAGGCGGACTTTATTAAATCTGGATTCTGGTGTGTCCTTGACTAAACAAGCATATTAGTGCAGATGACAGTTAACTTAACTGGGCCTGGCTGATTGGGCAGGGATGGATATTGTAACCAATAGTTTGACAGTGTGTGCTTTTGGTCATTTATGTATTTTTTGACTTGTTGATTGAAATCTCGACAATTATGATGAACTCAGTTTATACTTAACAAGTCATTCCAATGGCAGTAGACAGAAACCAAAAATTAAAACAAAACTCTAGTCTCTTCTTCCAGTCCTGTGTTTTATTATGGATTGAATATGTTATGGAGCAATACTGTTAAAAGTTGTGGGCATATTTATTTATACTGTCATCAATTGTTAGAACTAATAACTTACATGACTGTTCATCACTGTACTCATGAAACTGCAGGATGTTGTCTTGCCTGATGGTAAAGTGGATGATATCGATGCCAGCACGAAAAGGTTGCTTAACTGGAATAACAAGTTGAAGAATTACTGGAAAGCCTCTCCTTACTTTCTGGAGGACACTAACTCAAAGAGTAAGCATTAAAATTCCTTTTAAACAGTTTATGTATCATAGGAAGTCAATTATCAGTTAGATATGTAAAAGCCATGTTGACGACGATGACGATGATGACAAGCCTTATCCCATTATGGGGTCGGCTATATGGATCGTACGATGTCATTGTGTTCTATTAACAACCAAGTTTTTAGATAGATTGTTAACTAAAAAGTCTCGTTCAATGATCTCATTGAGCATTTTTCTCGGTCTTCCTTTGTCTCTTTTCAAAAGACTTTGAACTGTCTGATATACTTTTTCCACATTGCGCCTCCGATGGTCTTTTCTGCATGTGCTCAAACTGTCTCAAACTATGTTCAACTATTTTTTCTTCGATAGGTGTCACATCTACTCTTGTTCTGATATTTTTATTTCGAATCTTATCTTTTTTTGTATGACCACATATCCCATCTCAACATTCTCATTTCTGTTACCCCAACTTTATGCTCTTGTTTTCCCTTTTGAGCCCAACATTCACTGCCATGTAATAGAGCTGGTCTTATAGTAATCCAATAGAATTTTCCCTTATGCTTTGCAAGTACTTTCTTATCGCAAATAACTCTAATAGCATTTCTCCACTTTAACCACCCAACTTGTATTCTATGAGAAATGTCTTCATTAATTTCACCATCCTTATGTGTAATGAATCGTAGATATTTGAACTTTGACAATGTACCCTAATTGAAGTGAGAGGTGGTAGGTGACTAAAGCACCAGATTTCAGGTTGTGGACGTCTTCCAGAGTTCTCTTGCCTGAACTTTGCACTCTTGTTGCACCATAACTGTGGCACTCGCTTGACAAACTATGCTTATGCAGACTATTCTCGTGTCAAATTCTTGAAATGAATTTTAATTTCTTACACATATATGGCAAATGCAGGATGCCTCTCAAGCAGAACTGATGCTTCATTTTATAGATATAGAAGCAGTAAGCCAAGTAAATATAGTCTTACAACAGGAGAGTGAGAAGTGAGGCTAGATGCTTTGGACTTAGGGTTTACCATCTCTTCTGTCTGTATTGTATCTATCAGAACCTAAATTGCATTCCATTGTGATGTATAAGATAAATTCTTTTACCTAAGGAAGTGAATTAGTGCCACATATCGCATCAGATGGGGTTAAAGAGGTCTTGATATGTAATCGGGTTTGAGGTGCAACCAGATAGACCAGACATAGAGTTTTCAAAACATATTTATTGTCTATCGCATATTTGCTCCGTATTTGGCTCCAAAGATATGAAAATTTTCCTTCCTCAACTGTGCGCTAGCTTTTTTGTGCTAAGCTTCATTTGCACTATTCTAATATCTGTCCAAATGTCAGAGAGGAAAAGGTTAGACGTGGAAAGATTTTCTGACAGGCAAAAGGCTGTGTTTACTCGTGATTCTCTATCACAAGTTTTAGAGTTCAAAGATTTTCCCAAAGAGTTGATTCAAGGTGCGTGCAATGGAATACAAGACAATAGTCATATTTTAAATTCCACAAATATATTATGCTTTTAACCTTTTAGGTTCTTTTTGACAAAGATTCTCCAAATCTCCATATGGTATTTTCAGGTACGACACGACGTATACCAAAGCGGAAAAGTTTCCGGTGGAACCCAGAGTCAGGTTTGATGATTTCACATGCCTTTTATTTATTTGTTAAATTTGTCAGTTTTGTGCTAATTTGAGCCTGGTATTCAGTTTAATGTTTGGCTCCGAAGTTAACCTTTAAAGTGCAAATAGATCTCTCCCTCTTAAAAAATCTTTTTGAAACTTCTGTTGCCAGTTATATCCCATAGATCATTGGTTCATTCTGATAATAAACAGTATATTTTCATGGCTATTTTTCCATTAAAGATGCAACAAGATTACATGAATGTTGGAAAGCTTCACCTGCTGCCAAAATTGGTTTCTATTGAATGGATTTTGTCACATTGTGAAGGACTTGCATTTGGTGTGAACTTTAGTTTTGAGGCATATCCTTCTTAACTCATGATAGAATTATACGATACAGACTTGTGATATTGCACAAGACTTATTTAAGATGTTTGTGTGACAGATTTGAAGACGCTAGATTTATTTGAACAACTTGAGAAAAAGGCTCAGGTAAAATGCCTCTGCCTAAAATATCATGCCATCATTTTTCCATGGTAACATTACAGTGGTCACACTTCTGGTCCAACTTTCCTGGATTCCTTAATTTGGCATCAGTGGAGTCTATACTACTGGGAGGTGGTTTTGTAGTTTTCTGAATACTTTTTTCTAATATAATTTTGGTTTAATAAATGAAGGGGGACGGTTCACCGTGAAATGTAAACTTAGCTGAGTAATGTTCCGTTGACCACTATTGTAAGAATTAGCGGGTCTCATTAATGTAATATTATATTTGCATTTTTCGATATGGATAGTATAGGGCTACTTGCACTCATGTAATGGTTCCCAAATCATTTGTCAACGTTCTTTTTCCTGCAGGGCCAGGAAGGTAAAGGTGAGAAAGAAAAGAAAGAAGGGGAAGATGAAGATGAAGATGAAAATGCAGAAAATGAGGAGGTTGAGGAAGAACTTAGCGATGACGACTATAATCAGGTTCCACAATGCCTTCAACTGTGATGTCATAATTTTCTTACATGTTATCTTATTGACTCACTCAAAATTAGTCCGCTCTCTTGTTGCAAAAGTCATTCATCAGCAGTCACCTCAAACCCCCCATTCTCTTCTATATTGATCCTTGGGGTGACTTCTTGTTCCTTTCCATTAATTGACGGGCAGTATAAACTTGAAGTTTTTAACAATTATATGAGAGTGCTTGGCACTAATAGCATGTGTTTTACAATTTTCCTAATATGATATACGAGAGGCTTAACAACTTCCAGTAGTCTGTGGTTTATAATAGAAGACTGATGATTCAAGTCACTAATTTTCCTTCTTTTCTTCTTCTCGTTGTGTCACTGTGTTTTGCAAGATAAATTGTAAAATTGCGGAATCTATTATTTATGGTTGTGTTTTAAACTCGAACTAATTCCTTGCACTTCCAGAATGAATATTTTGACGATGATGAAGATGATTACAATGATGTAGATGAGGGGGAAGGTACTGTCCGCTTGGCATCACCGCATGTGCCATTTTTTATACGCTTTGATCATCTTCTATTTGAATATTTGGCCATGGCGTGGTTCAATGTAGTCAATTTCTAAATTATCATGCTAACCTCTCCTTTTCACTTATTGCAGATGAAGGCATCTACTAAGAGTCTCTGGAGAATGATTTTCTGCCCTTTGTCTGCCAGATTTTATGTACAGAGCATGCGGGCATGTGGGTTGGGAGATTATTTGATTGAGCAGGGGCTATAGGGAAAGTATTAATAGAGAATATCTGATTTTTCTCGGAATTTCTTCATTTGGAGAAGGCCACAGTGGAGATCATCAGATGCGTTTTGGTATTACAATAATTGCTGCATGAAAACACGAATCGCCCACTTTTCAAAATACGCGCACCATTACTCTGGATCTTGTTTCACGGTCATATTGTTCTCCCCCCCCCCCCCCCCAAAAATTTTTTTTCTGAACTACTGTTGTTTATCTGAAAAACGTGAGCTTACTCAGCAACACATTTTATACAAAATGTTAACAAGATAAGTGCGTAAACATAGCCGTAGCCCGCAATATTGTTCCGTCTTTTACAGTAAAATGCTTGAATCATTTTTTTTAAAATAATTATTGTCTTAATTACACAGGTTTTCCCTTCCATTTTAAAAAAACATTTTATTCCAAACTTTGTTGACAAGATTTTTGAAGTATTTCTATTAATTGAAAACTGCGCCAGAATAAATCTTATATATTAATTTGTTTTTCATATTAAATTTTTAATTTTTTTTGGGTAAAAAAATTTTTAATTATCTTTTGATAGTTATTTTAACATTTACTAGCTATCAGTTTAATATTCTAGTAAATTTAGAAAAATTTGAGCAAAATTTTACTTTTAAAAAATCTTAAATTAACTTAAGAGTGACTCGTTCACAAATGCATTCAACAAAATATATCTTAAAAAATTAACTCATATGGAACAAATCCGTTTATAATATTATTAATGTCAATATAATATTTTCACAATCACTATATCATTTGGTAATCTTGAAAAATAACTGAGTATATATTCTTGCATTACAAGACATTTTTGCTAATGCATGTATTTAAAGGATTGTCACAAAAATTAAATAAACAAAATTAAATAGGAAAAATTGCAATTAAAAAACCTGAAATTTAAAAAATATAAATAGGAACCCTTAACAACTTTACTATAACTTTTGACAATAATAATAGGCTATAAAGTTATTAATACCTATAGTAAAGTTGCCACAAATCCCTATCTACATTTTTCAAATTCCAGGATCTTTTTTAGTGATTTTTCCAATTAAATATTTCAAATTATTCAAAAAAATAAAATTTAGAATTATAAAATTTAACTAACTTCATGTAATATAATCCAAACTGATTATTAGTTCACCCTCATCAAACGCTCTATTTGTGTCGTAATAGCTTGAATATTGCCGTATGCGGGCAAGACAAGTGAATAACTAAAATGTTTTTTTCTTTTTTTTTGGGTGACGAGTTAAATTATGAAATATCAGCAAATAAATACGGTAAAGAACCAATCGTGATACAAGGCATTTGTTATACATGAAATTTATCAACGCTAAGACCAGCTTAAGGGGCTACCTATTGCATTAAAAATTACTACACTATATTACTCTCAGCTCAACATGGGGGTTAAAAAGAACCACCAAGGAAATATCCAAGCCCCCAAAGGAAGACCGTTTGAATTGCTAAAAAGTAGACAACATACTGGGGCGCCGGATGAGGTGGCAGACAACCGGCAGCAATATGGGGATTAAAATATGTTTCCTCGACGTGAAGTTCAGAGATTGGAAGAGAACGGGCAAAGTCTCTGTCTCTGAACTTTCCACCAATTTTGCTATCCCTGGGCTATTTTCCACTTCTCTGGTATGTTGCTTTGCAGTGTAACCTAGCTCATAAAATTAGTTAGGAAAATCAGCTTCAAAATCCAAATGGAGATTTTGTCCTGCTTCCACCTTCTCCGTACATTTCATTCCACTTCCTCAACTCATTCATGCTTGCCGCATCATAGGCAACTGATGGGCCAACCTACACGTTTCATCAGACCCGTTTAACATTTCAACTGAATATTTGGCATTAGTCCCAAAACCGAGATTGAACAAACTTTTCTACTTCGTATAAACATAACAATTAGAAAAAATGAAAATATATCACACACCTTTGATTTTGCCTGAATAAAATCATCCAATTTTAGAGGCCTTAATACGGATGTTGGACCACTGGAGCTCGCCTGTATAAACCAAAAAGATACATTATGTAACCTGGCAAAGTAATTCGATAAAAACCAAACATAAAATCCAACTGAATTTTAACTTTCCACCATGAAGCAAGGTGACCAAGGAAAAAATTGCACGACAGAGTAGACCAACTGGAGATCAACATGACAAGTAAGAGCAGCACTTGGCACGTGAATTTCATTCGACAAAGCAAAATTTTTGCACCAAGGCCAAATAGGCGTAACATAGTTTATAAGCTCTGTACCTTCTTTTCGTTCTCTAGCAGCTCTTGAACAGGTCTATATGCCGCAGCAATGCAAAGGTTCTTCCAAACAAAGTCATGAAGGAGTGTGAGATATATGGCAAACTGTTTATCCTTAAAATTGCTTTACATACAAGTTAAAGAAGAATTAGAAATATAACCGACACTACTCACCTTCAAATCACTGCCAGAGTATCCCTCAGTTAAGTTAGCAAGTTTGTCAAAGTGAAAATCATGATCAAGATTTTCTTGTGCAAGAAAGATTCTTAAGATCTTCATCCGATTTTCAGCATCTGGCAAATCCACATATATCCTGGACGGTGTAATAACATAATAAAGCTTAGCCAAAAAGTTTTTCCCCTAATTGATTAGAAGCTATAATATTGAAGCATAATTCTTAAGAAAAGTAGGGTAACTTATCACTAGGTCTATTAGAACATCAACTTTCATGCAGTGACCGGATAGCTATATATTTGCCCCATGAGAAGCCCAGAACAAGATTCAGAACCAAAAACATGATAATTGGATGAAGAAAAGGATGGTAAGCCTTCAGCAAATAATTATTACTCCGTGAAAGAAATCTAGTCATTTACCTTCTTGGTAAGCGGCGTATAACAGCATCATCAAGATCAAAAGGCCTGTTTGTTGCACCAAGAATGAGAATTCTTTGACTCTCTTTTGTCCTCAATCCATCCCAAGCCGCCATGAACTCATTCCTCATTCTTCTAGTGGCTTCATGCTCAAAAGCACCCCCTCGAGCACCAAGCAAACTATCAACCTAGAACACAGATTCAAGTCAGAAGCAATTTATAGAGCCTCTGGAGGATAGCTTGATGCCCTCACACAAATTGACACATTTTAAGGTAGCAAACGTGGCCCAAAACTTTGAGATTCAACGGTACAATTATGCTTAACTTTTTCATATTGATTAATCAATTAAAATGCACAACCAAGGTCACTGCAGAGAAGATACATTATTACACTTCTTACTTCCATTTCAAGAAATCATCTGACTTCCTAAGATATACTCTCTGTCAGTGGCATCAACATACAAAACACAAGAGAAACGTGGTTTACTATATCAGAATATAATACACCTTCTCCATTATAAAATGCTTGTTTCAAAAGCAGAATTTAAGTTAATGATATGCACTCAAGCACTCACTTCATCAACAAATATAATGACAGGAGCAAGCTTGCTAGCAAAGGAGAAAAGGGCCTTGGTAAGTTTCTCAGCATCTCCAAACCACTGCATCAACAAAGAACCAAATATGTCAGACATTGCATTGTGGACACACTTGTACAAACGAAAATAATCAAAGAATGTTAAACAACATAATCCTTCCATAAAACCACCGTCAAATTTATGATTGTCCGAGTATCCATGGCACTGATTAAAATGGCAAAAGTTCCAGGACTTATATATCACCTTTGATGTTAGAGTAGAACCAGTTATGCTGATAAAATTTGCGCCTGCTTCTGTTGCAAGTGCCTTGGCCAGAAGTGTTTTCCCCGTACCAGGAGGACCAAAAAGTAGTATTCCTTTGCAAGGCTGACAGAAGCATCTTCAATATCAGATAAATGAAGGAAAAAAGCAAGTTATATGTTTTAGTTGAAATTGCATACAGGAAACAAGAATCACTACCCGCAACAAGTTTCCACGAGAGAAAAGCTCTGGCCTCCTCATCGGAAGGATGACAAGTTCATTAAGTGCCATCTTCACATCTTCAAGAGCACCTATGTCATCAAACTGCACCCCAATTTCACCAGGAGGTACTACAGCCGAAATGAAGTTGCTCTCATACTCATCCTTTGCAAGGTTCTGTTGCATTTTTTCACAATATAAGGAACATATAAAATGGACAATGCAATAATAGAGAACTTTCAGAAAATAGCATAAATCACATGCCTTCAGACCCTGAGAGGGCTTCCGTGACATGGTTTCTTGATCCCTCAATCTTGAGATTGCAATTTCAAGACTTCAATCATGGAAAAAGAACAAAAACAATCAGCTCCAAAATATTGCCAAGACCGAGAAATAAGAGGATTTATGGTTTACCTTTCACGAGGCAAGCACAATCGTTCTCCTTTAACATATGGAAGTGGGCAAGATGACAAGTAATTATTTTTTGCCCATCCCACCACCTTTTCAGCCTCTGAAAGCAAAAGTAAATAAAGATCAAAACCAAAGCAGTGCGCTATAAAGAATTGCTACCTTGGCATTTCTATAGTAAAACCAGTAAAAACTGAAGAGTTGATTTTCTTCTGAAATTATTTTATTTGATAGAAGCAATGTTACATTTATAGACAATAAAAGGAAAAAGTTGACTTCTACTCCAACTATACAAGATATTGACGTCCCATACATAATGCTCAACTCCATAGCAACTACCTCTTGTGAGTTTACTTAATATTTCCATTAATTTATTTTTGACTTGAGCCATTCTCTGGCAGATTTTAGACAGGATAGGCAGCGGACCGTTGTAGCCCACCTGCACAGGACTAGGATGGCTTCATATAACGTGTCAAATGAAAACAAGCCTTGCAGTTTTACAGACATTGATTTAGTAACTAATCTACATATGTGTGTGTGTGTGTTCTTCCTGGAATTTGAGCCAAATAAACACCATTCTCTTTTTTTTTTTTTGGGGGGGGGGGTTCCAACTAGATTTGGTCCTTAATAACTTGATTTTGCATTCCCCCTCGCCAAAACACCCACTTCATTCAGTAAGTTAAAATCATGTGCATCTGCAGGGAAATAAATAGAAGGTACATATAGAAGGATGAAGGAACAAAGGATTATGGCATAGAGGATAAGTGGAATAACTTAGATGCGCATTCTTACTTTGCTTTGTCAGAATAACACCATCAGTATTTACTTGCAAGAGGTCCAAGCATGATAGCTCATGTTCTTCAAGAACCTGCAACGTGAAAATCCAACTATTATTGCCTGATATCAATGATGCAAATTGCATTAAGTGGAAGCATACCTGAAAGGAAAGATACATAATCCAAAGAAAGCATATCATCATTCAT